CGGAATCAAACTACCAGTAAATGCCAGTGTTTAGGAAGCAACTTCTGCCTAAGTAAACAGCATTGTTTACTTCACATGCTTAAAATATTCTCACCTTCTTCTTCCTTTACTCATGGGAATTTCCTCTCCATTAGAAATTAGCAGATAAGAGCAAAGAGCAAGCTGTAATTATTGCAATGAGCCTTCCTTAGCTCATTTCCTAATAATAAGTGCGAGTAAATACACACATGCACACACTAGGGCTCAAGCATTACCAAGCTCTTATAGGACAGAAAAGATAGTTTCATGATGGTACTTATTTGAAACACAAAATCTAGAATTATTGTTTGCCTCTGAAATAATTACGAATACCATCAATCCAAGAACCCAAAAGCTACAGCATATGAGAAATACTTAAACCAAATCTAAACACAAAGCTAAGTGAAAAATGTTACAATAAAATAGGGCTTAAAGTTTTCTTACGCTAGTTGGTCTTTGAATCACCTCCCACAGATCTTGTGACTAAAATAAGATGCACCTCAGTCCTAATTCAGCTTAACTGATGATAACTTATCATCTTATTTACAGGAAAAGCAGGAAGATCTGAATGCCTACAATGCTGGTTAATCCCATTTGCAAAATCTGTACTGTAGATTAGTAATAACACATCAATAAAGCAGATAAAGAACCATCTGACTAATGGATCTCAAAACAAACTAGCCAAAGGGAAATGACTACTGATTGGAAAGGCTCCTGGCTGGATTTATGGAGTGTCATCAGGCATATTTACTCACAAGTAAATACAAACTCACTGCAAAGGAAATTTGCAGACAGCCAAAGGTTAGTAAGAGTGGCAAATGAGGACAGCAAAAAGTCACAGGGACTCATGTGGTGTATGCTAGCAAAAAGGTACACCTCAAAGGTAACAGAAAGACAAATAAAAGCTACTCAAACTTGTATTTTATACTTTCTTGTTTTGAAAACATACCTGTTATTCGTAATTTGGGGCTGAAAAGAATGGAGAGGCATCTTCATAAGCAAAATAAGCAATTCCAGATGTGGAAAATAATGCCTTTAATATGGATACAAAACTAAACCCAGTATCTTCTAGAGAGCATAAAGCACTTAATATGTAGGAATATCTAAGTCTTCACAGTTCTGAGAAAATCTTAGAATACAATCTCAGCCTCATTGTTTCCAAAAATAAGTTTGTAAATGAATCTGTTTTATTAATGCAAAATGCTGGCTCCATCTTTTGATAATTCAGATCTTGAAAGACAAGTCACAAAAAGAGTGAAAGAATTTCAACATCATGATCTGAAAAATTAGTTTAACTTCTATATGGCAAAAAGTATTCTGAAAGAAAGTAAAAAGTGAACAAAGCTACTGGAAAAGTGAATATTACTTAGTCCCTGACAGCATTGTGTGGTATTCTAAGTATCATTTGTGCCTGCAGTGTCTGTGAATGCTGTGCTTTTGTTCAGTCTCAGTCTAGGACAAAACCTAAAGTTGAGTTTTTAGAAGCAGTTTAGACTGTTAATACAGGTGTTACTAGCAAGATGAAAATACCACAAAAATAATTCTGATAGTCTCCAACTGGGACACATCTTTGGAAACTGATGCTGACAGGAATCAAACAAACTCTAGACAGTCAACTAAATATACTGGGAACCATCTTGATTTTGAAGTTTATCTAAACACAGCAGAAGTTGAAATTTTACCTCTTTTTCTAAAGATAACTATATATGTACCCTGAGCAAAAATTTTATTTTTCATTCCATACTTCAACAACATCAAAACATACTTTGTTGTACGAAATATAAATACATGTAGTTTATCAAGTTTAGAAAATACTTGTTAAGCCTAGCTAATTTTGTCAAACACAGAAAAGACAAAACTAGGAAAAACGACAAAAGTTGGCATGAGAAAATGGCAATACATGCTGATTTTAACCGCAATTTTTAATTTAAACAGAAAAAATCCTGCAATTCTATTTACAAATACTATAATGAGTAACAACCTCAAACACTGCTTGCTAGAAAGCTCTGGAACATAGCAGGAAAGTCCTATGAAAAGCCAATGGGAGTGGAAGTCAAAATAAAAATAAAACTGGAAATATAGAACAGTGAGCTTTTTTAAAAACAAGAAAATAAAAAACCCCACCCTGAGTAAAATGAAACCAAGCAAGAAAACAAGTGGTGAATTGCACTGCCTCATGACATTGGTTTTCAAGAATGAAGGTTCTAGTGAATAGCTTTTAGATTCAGCACAGATGAAACTGCATGAAATTTTATATCCTGAGATACCAATATGGTCAGCTGAAATTACTGGGATTTTTTGGCATTAAAACCTATCCACTGATGATTCAGGAGTGCCTTTTTTCAAACATTTCAGCTTCATGTGCTATCACTAGAGGTGCATTTTTGCTGGTTTACTAGGAATACTTTTGAGCTGGAATCTTTACTTACTACTTGTTCGCTTGGGTATTTTAAGAATACTTCTCTTGCCACTTCAATTTACAAAAGCAATGAAAAAGCAAACAAAGCAATTCTTCCTAACGAAAATTCAACCCACCCCCTTTTGCTTTCTAACAGGCCTTTCAGAAACAGCTTGAGTAAATGGAAGGCTTTAGCAGGTGCAGAAACATTTAACATTGCTTTCACAGGACGAAAGGATTGTCAAAGAAGCCAATCTTAGGAGTTAAGTAATCTTGAATATAAAGGATAGTCTAGGGACACGTTTATATAGTGACTCTCATTTTGCAAAACTATGAAAAGAATGTCAGTCTAAGGCCACCCAGCTAAACAAAACCTAGAATTTATGTGACAATTAAAATAAAAAGATGTATAGATTAAAATAATCTTGAACTGTGCCTGTAAGAAAATCTCTAAATACTATTTAAAAAAAAAAAAGTGTTTATACTGTAACCACTTACTTTTAAATATCTTTTCTAGTCTATCTTCAAAATTTTGACAGAGAATGTAATAATTCAGAATAATTTTTAAAAGCCAGTATCTACGCAAGTAATTTCTACTTGTATAAGACATCATATCTACTACAAGTTAATGTGAAGGAAGTGCTTTCACAAAACCAGAGCTACTTCATCCAGTAAAAGAAAAGAGTGGTTCTTAAACTGACATGAAGGAAAAATATCCCACTCAGTGTAGATTACTTATCTTTCTTTACATCAATCATCTGAAAAAATACAGTTTACTATATGTAGATTTTTTAAGTTAGGTATTTAAAATATATAATTAGAGTTTGGGTGACTTATCACACCTTTGAGATAGAGAACCATGGATAAATCAGGAAATTCCAACTTACCCGAGGTTTCAACTCCTTGAAAACTTACAGTATCATACATTTGCCTTGGCTCAAACAGCAAACCTAATGTTAAAAATGTAATTTGATTTACCCCTTATATTTCAAAGTGTGTGTGGGTTCCTCCATAGAGGCTGGTTTTGTTATTTTGGATTCTAGTGACGAGTTCTTGTAATTCAAGACAAAAAACTAAATTGGAATTGGACAAAACCAGTATTACCTTAATGCACATCATACTTGGACTCCTACAGTATATCTGACCATCAGATTATCTTTAAAACAGGAACTTCTATCAAAAGACATAAAACAGCAATAGAAGAGCACACACAGGATCCCAGAGTGACGGATTAACAGCAGCATTAATTTTCAGACCCCATGTTTCACAGTATTAACTGGATGACACTGCAAGTAGAAAAAAAGTCTTGAAAAAGCTAGCACTTGGGTCAGCAGGGTCTGAAATACCTAGCCAGCACTAGTCCATCTATTCTTGGTTGTGTGACCATAAAACCAGGTTGTGCTCTGAGAATACCTAAGGAAGACTGTTCTCTTATGGATTTATCTCCTATGTGCCACATTCCAACCTAGGCATAACCCCTTCACATCCCCTACAATCACCCACACAGACACCTGGAATAGCCCTTCAGGTAACTCTTTCTCCCACATCTGCCTCTACAGACCCTGTCTTTGTCACCTCTTGCTAAAAGCAGCTTACACTCCAGCCTCTGCTTCATGACTTGTGTGCTCACAGGCTGCTTGGAGGAGTCACACAGACTGCTGGGCCCAACTAACGCTTCTCCAAGAGACTGGACATTCATTTCTTTTTTTCTCCTCCTCTATCCAGCTTTCAGCTTTCAAAGACTTTCCTGAGACCTTTAGCACTGCTCAGACAGATAGAGATATGCCTCATTACCTTAAACCAGGCTAAAAAGAAAACATGTTTCTAAACATCTCTGATACAAATCATAACAAACATCTCTGATACAAGCATCTGATACAACATCTCTGATACAAACCATATGGAAAAAGCTGTTGAAATTATCAAACTTGTAAACCATGTGAAAGATACGTGTGTTGTTTAATGTTAAAACATAAACTGTGTTAAAGAATGGCTTGACGTCATCAACTGCTTAAATAATACTGGGATTAGCTTGCATGTCTGTGGTTAAAACCTGTACGACTATTCGGGTAAATACAATAATATTGCTTCCTTCTAGATGTATTCAAAATGGCAATGCTGTGATCCTTTGACAGGAACACTAAGAAAGATAATGCAGACTTTTTTTATAATTTTATGATAAGCTACATGCTATTTTACACCTTCCTTCAACCTCTGGCTCCAGGTACAACTATATAACAGCTGTCACTCAAGAAAAAGCATCAGTCCTCAGCAAAAAAAAGGTGACATTTGAAAGACATAGACCCAAGAGGAAGGAAAAAGGCTTACATAAATCATGTTTAGCTTTTCATAATGCTTAGCACAAGCATAATTTTAGAGGACTGACTCCTGATAATTGATTGCTTGGCGCCAGCAGAATGCAAGAAAACCTGTTAACCTTAAAGCTGCATGTATGCTCTATTTTAATGCTTTGAGCTTCACAACCCTCATTCTGCTTCAGCCCTTTTCTCCTTTGCCTGACCCTCAGCTACATTTATCTTATCCTAAATATAGTGCACTGACAGTCGTATGAACACCTACTTACAGGAATCATCCAGTTGGCCAGGTCACCGTACTTAGACACCTGCATAGCTCCAAGCATTGTCAAATCAACATGGCCTCTGGCAACAGAAAGAAAAATAGCACATCATGTTCAAGTAACAGCCCACAAATCTTAACAAGTTTTTGTTCACATTCTCATTATGTCAATATAAAACCAGTGGCATACCACAGAGGTAGCAACCATTTTGTCCATGTAGCTGGGTTTTTCACCCCTCTAGATATATTGCTGATGCAAATTTTTCTGTCTGTCTCCTGAGCCTCAAAAATGTTTTTACTTTTGTCTGGTTTTGGTTAATTGCATGCACAAACAGCTCTGAACTCATACTTTTAAGTGCACTCCTTTGCATATTTACATGCACTCGTTATCTTTCCAGAGCCTTTAGGATTTAGTGTTTGTTTGCATCCAACCTCCTTCCCGAAAAACAAACAAAAACCAGGTGCAGATGGTGAATTTCCACTAGGGAGGTGGAATGGGGATCACAGTTGTAAACTGAGCAAAGAGAATATAGCGCAGGTAAGTATAGATTAGATACTTGGAAATGACCAAAAAGTAGTTGTTAAAACATAGCTATAAATGTGTTTATATATAGCCAGGTGGTGGTAGACACGAACATCACTGTGGTGTCCGTTAGTTACAGTGTTTTTCTATTTCCAAGAGCTAGACCTAATCCTATGTAAACCATCACTGATTAAGTCCATGATCATTTTACAGGCTACTAAATGCTAACTACATTTCAAAGAATTACTAATGAGTTCAGTCACTGAATTAGTTTATTCTTTTCATGTTTCAAAAGGTCAGGGTTTGGGTTGTTACATACCCTCTTATCATTGCAAATGATTCATCGCTAGAGAAATAGGAAGAACCTGGAAGAACAGTGACTGTCTCCTTACCTGTAAAAGAAATAAGCTATAGTATGTATGTATTTTGTCTCTTTGACAAATGAAGTCACAGCTATTAACCAAGAAATAAGGAGGTTTTATCAAATTCCTTTGGATTCTGTAGAACTATGGACCTGATTACACTTACTATGTCACATGTAAACTTAATCAATCATAATGAAATGTGAGGCAGTTTATTAGAGTTTTTAATGGTAAGATTGCCTGCTCTTTGATCTTCAGCAGTTCCAGGCAAGACATCACTGACACCAGAGGCTAAGAAATCTCTGTGGAGTTTTCCGCCCTATCCACAGAAAAAGTGAGAGGTACCTCTCTTTTGAAACAGGGAAAGA